CTCCTCCTCCTCCTCCTCCTCCTCCTCCTCCTCCCTGAGACTTTTCTCCTTTCCCAGCTGTTCCCCACCACGCGCCATGGGATACAGACACGACCGTCTCAAAATGAGAGCTGTTCTTCTCGCCCCCGTCTTTGCCCTCACTGTCTTCTTCGTCCTCTTCCCACCAGTCGTCGTCGTCATCATCATCTTCGGCCGAAGCGGTGTGGTCGGCAGCATCAGTTTCAACGAGGGTATGCGGAGAGGAGAAAGCCTCGGTGGACCCAACGGCGGCGGCGTCGACGGCAGGGGGCTTTTCTCCGGCCCCATCCTCCGTTAATTGAGGCATATTTCTTTCCCGTCCCCCTAACTGATTTGCCTCCCCTCCCTTGGTATCTGGGCTGCGTTTCTGCTCGGCAACGCACTTTTGCATCTCATGCTCATGTCCCGCCGGCTCGACGTCGCCACCACCGACACCGTTGTGGTAGCAGCTGTCGGCACTACCGTCGCCGCCGCCGCAGCTCCCAGCGTGTGAACCACCGACAATACCACCGCGCTCGAGGGCCTCGCCGCCAGCATGACCCACACCATCACGCTCGACGGTTGTGTCTGTACTGGATATGGACTCGGTGAAGCTAGACGTGGGTGTCAGCCCTTCCACGTCTGGCGTTGACGTGGGGGTGATCGTGGTGGCTATAATCTCTTCGCGGTGTCTCAGCGCAGTCGTGCAGACAGCGGAAATGTGAGCGGCCACTGTAGCCTGAACCACCTCGGAAGCTGCCGCCTGCAGCGGCACGCATCGATATTTCCGGTAGGCCGGAGGTGGCGGTCACGGGGAAAGGGTCGGGATTGTTAGAGATTATCCGTCGAACTATGCAGCGAGGGGCTGCTCGATGCACTTCAGATTGCCACGAAAAAGCACCGGACATTCTTGCTGTACAAATGGCATGTAAAGGGAAAGTGTTTTTGGACTTGATACAGGCGCGTTCTCTAGCACACAGAATGCTTTTCAATGCCCGTGACGCATCGACTGCGTGGGTCGCGCAGGTCGGTGGCTCTGGGCACACAATCCATCCTTCAGCGAATAACCGGGGCACTGGAAAAAAACATGCTTGAACTATCAAAAGGGCGACCCGAACCCCCAGAATACCTGGCTTCCGCTGGCCAGATGCAGCGGGGTTTCCCTCTTTACGCCCACGCAGCTTTCGCCGAGAACTTTCGCGAGGGGGGCTAGCCGTGCTAGCAGGGCCCGAGATCTGAAGGAATCGATAAAAGGGGAAGCCATTCGTGAGGGACATCTCAGTGCCTACGTTGATGGTGCGCCCCGCTAGTCCAGCCAAGTCACTTGGTGATTGAACGCAGGCATGTACGATCGATGGGCGGTACGCAATACGCCACACCATCACAACGGCTATAGTCGGTGTCATACGTGGATTTCAAGGCTTGATCATCAACAACGGTACAATAACAGCTACAACGACCAAATCAGCAGTGACTACAACGCTGACATTGACACATGTATCAAGAGTCGTGGCCTCATTAAGCAAATTTCCGACCTAAGCCGTCTGGGTCAACAGCCGACACACACGTCCGGCGGTACCTTGGAAGCTCGGTTCGCGAGGCATCTTCCGCACGAGCAAAAACCACCTTCTTTTCGTCAGCGTCGAGGAGAACCTGCCCAGGGTCAACGGACATGTCGCATGGGTTTGGAAGGATGAGGGTTGATCCTACCACCAAAGTGTGCTGGGAACTGCCGACGGCTGCCGCACGATCAGGATCCCTGACGTGCTGGACATCAACAATCGGGCTATGAACCAATCCACGCTCATCGTTGTTTTGATGCGCATCCCTCAACAGATGACAGAGGTTTGGTGAAGACGTGCAATCGTTGTTATCCCGACCGGAATCATGAGGAGGTCAGGTATGCTCCCTATGCCATATTGCTCTCTCTCGTTCTGTAATGAGAAATTCCCTGTTCCTTGCCTAATCATTGCCTTTGGACAGCTCTGCTATCAACCACTACAGGTGGTCCCATAGGGTACCGCAAGCGAAGGGAGGCGGAAGAAAGAGACAAACTCCACGGGGTATACGGTGTGTGCCATAACCCACCTGTCCGGGACTTAGCGGTCCATGGACGCGTCCACGGCCCTCCGCCCCAGCCACCAGCCGAGGCGTCCCTGCACATAAACGGACAGAGTGGCAGTTCTATGTACCCCGATTCAGAACAAACGTGCTCGTGTATTTCGTCAAGCTTCGTTGGGAAATGCGCGCCGAGTATTCTCGTCTGTGATGATCGTCACCTCGAATATATAAGAATTATGTTTGCCTGGAGTCGATTGGGCATCACTCTAGACTCTGCCCAGTAGTGCACATATCCAAATGCTGTTTGCGCCGATCCGCCATTTCAGACTTAGTGCTCCGGAGAACTCGGGTTTCGACGAACGGCCGAACGAGTGCTTCGGGTTCGTCTACGCTCTTTCGGCAAAGATTATATTTTCAAAGAATCGCAATAGCATGAACAGTGCTGCAACCAGCGTGATGTAGCCTGCCATTTGCTTCGCCGATCGAACCCGGACAAAGAATACAGCATTCCGCGTTGAAGATACTCATCCAAATGACCTATTGCTGACGTTCTCTCTCACCAATTAGATACGGCACGGGGGCTGAAAGCACCTCAGCCATGTCAATCGGCATCACCGGCACCAGCGGGTGCACCCACAGGAGGGGCCGGGTCAGCGCGGCGAGGGCGAGAACGGCCGAGGACAGGAGCCCCAAATCCTCGCTCACGACGATCACCTTTACGTTTCATTTGTGGCGGGATGGATCACACAAAGTGGTTTGTTCGGTAGGCGCCTGCGCCACGCTACGAAACGATTCCTACAAAGCACCCGACAGGGTCACGGCAGTCCACGGCAAGAAACTATCGGGCGGAGAAGGCACCGTCAATTTTTTAACACGGCAACTTAGCTAGAAGCATGCTGGGCGAAAACTTCCGACATAGGAAAGTGAATGATGCAGAGAAACACTGGCCTAGAACTTGTGCTGCCCGTGTGTGGTGGAAGTCAATATGTCTCCAGTGCTCCCGGACAACACCTCGTGCATAGATATCTTTCAATAGCAGCTTTTTCATCGGTTCCCAACACGCACGCAGGTTCACCTACAAGTAGAACTCAACATGCTGCTGGCCCCACACGGAAGATTTGCACGCACGCACCTGATACTCGCACATAAGAGCACCCACGACCGCCACAAGGATGTCGAAGGGAATGAGGGACAGCGTGCCTGGTAATGCCCATGCCGCGACGCCATCGATCATCTCGCGGCCGTCTTTCACGTGCGGCGGAATGCGATCTCCCCTCAGGCTGGCGAAACTGTCATAGCTAGCAAAGCCCACGCTGTTGTTTTTGGGGATACGAAAAAACATCGACGAAAGGATTTCGTGGGGAGCGGTGTGTGTATGTTCTAAACAGGGTCATTCGGGATGCCTTGTATCGTAATTATGTATATTGCGAGGTGAACACACGCAGTGCGACAAAAAAAAAGGATGCTAGTTGGCGAGCATTGTCTGGCGGTCTGCTTGCCTTCCCGCACCCACCACCCTCAAGCAATTGATCCGAACGAAACGATCATATCCTCCTGTTCTTCAAATCATAAACTTCTGTGTTTTCCTCGTATGAAGAAACTTCACGAAGTATGAGACATTTCTCAGCGAGCTGTGGACTAACGTCTCACCCGGAGTTCTTGATTTGATGCCCCCCGTGGAACTCTGCCATGGCTCCTCGCTGGTAGTGTATCTCCGGTAGGTCGGGGTGGACTTGGAAACGTACCGTTTCTCCAGGAGCCGGCACAGCCTGTTGCATATACCTATCACGAAAAAGAACGAGTCTAGACATGAGTATTAACCGCTGGTCCCCTTGTAATGGTAATGGGGCTGGTGCCGGCGCTACTCGTCAGCTTCAGCAGCGTGTACACTGCCCGTACTATCTTTGCCGGGATACATACGGGTAAAATGTCAGTGCGGCAAGGGGTTGGGTGATCCTCGGCGAAATTTTCGCCCTCGGAACGACCAAGAACCAGCTATCTACCTGTGCCACGGTCTTGCGCGTGCTCTTATGAACAAGCTCGGTAGACATCTTACACAGAGGCCGTGATTGAGCTGGCTACTCCCTCGGTAGGATACGCGTGCCGCTTGTGTTTGGCCGGCCCTCGCTTTTGTTGTGACACAGAGCGTGTGAAATCATGTAATCTTCCTCTTCGCCGTATTTTCAACGACGTGGGGTTTCGAGCAACGCCCACACTCTCCCACCTTCTCGAGACAGCAAGCAGCAACTCCTCCACCCGACTAGATAAAAGCGCGGCCTCGGCTATCTCATCGGAGGCGGTAAGACCATCCCGCCGCTCTGCCGTCAACTGGTCCGCGGCGGGAAAGATAGGGGAAGGTTTGGGGTCGCGACGTGCGATGAAGGTCTGAGAGTGCATCCGAAACTATGAACGGTTATCGGCATACAGATGGTGCCCGCACTTAAGAACCTCTAGTTTCGGCCGAGGCTGGGGTTCTTATATCGCCAATCATCCTCTTGTGGGCTACAAGCCGCCACTATATAGGTTTTAGTGCAGGGGGTCTTAACTAGGCTCACAAATGGTGCTCAAGCTCTTAGCTTCTAATATTTTTCAAGTCTCAATTTCTTAACTGCCAAGTTCTTAAGTGCGGGCGCTATCTGTATTCGCGAAGCGCCCGTTCCTGCCTTTCAAGCTGAGTATGGGGAACGTGGTGCCCCCATAGCCCAGGTGTGGGTTTTTATGACAGGGGTAAGCTGTTGCTCGTGTTGTTTTCCTGTTTTGGATACAGCTGCCTCATGCGTCTTGCAGTGACGTAAGGTGTCGGCTGCAGGGTGCTTCTGTATCTCCGCGAAATACCTGCAGTTGGAGCTGGGCGATATCTGGGTGCCCGTACCTTCATACGCATGATCCTTTCTGCTGCAAGGAGGTCCCAGAGAATTTGGAAGTGGAGGTCGAAGAGGGGCAGGCGGCTCAACAAGCAGTAGCACCCCCACACCTGTATTACCCGCGGAACAGACAGGTCCAAACGGTAACAACGGTGAAAATAAATCGTTGTTCGGACAGGGTTCTTGTGGCAGCATATTCCAACAGGGTGGCTGACGAGTAGAACTCGTCACAAGGGATAGACAGACCAAACGTCTCCTCGCTTTTATCGGTCGGTTTCTCCAGGCGGTACCACTAACTAAACAAGCGACGGCAGCGAGCGAAAGTTCAAAATTCAAGCAGTCACCTGCACGTCTGCTCCGTTGCTGCCGCCTCCCTTGTATCCACCACCGCGCCTCCCCCTCCTCCCCCCCCTGGTGTGAGGCGGCGACTGCCCCTGTGCCCCTCTGCCCTTCTCGTCTCCCCCTCTCTTCACTGTCTCAGGCGTCACAGCCGTACCGGACGTTTCGGCCGACGGCGCCGCCGTCAAAGCCGTACCATTCTTGTCCTCCTCACCGACATCGTCACCCTGCGGGGAGCTGCCGCTTTCGGATTCATTGCGGCCAACCTCGCGGGAAGCTATGACCTTCGGGTAGGTGACGCACACGCCATACGTCCGGTGGTTCCGGGCCTCCCCGGCGACCCGGAAACCGTGGTCCCCTGTGGAAAGGTTGAGGTTTGACGGGTGGACGGAGAGCGAGACGGCGTTTCTCTGGCCGCCGGAAAGGAAGGAAACGACACTCCTCGAGCGAGAACGTTATGTATTTTTACTCTTCTTCCTCCGCCCGCCATTGTACGGTGACCACGGCGTTGAAGTCACCAACGAACGCCGTCACAGACCATACAAACCCCTAGCTTGCGAGATGTGAAGCAGTAGCGCTCGGCTCCTTCATACGAGTGTTTCCCTTTACGAAAGTTGACAGTCCCGCCCCAAGAAAGCCTCTAAGCACTGTCACCTGAGAACATGAAGACGAAGGACTGGCTCCCACGCTGACACGCGCCCGGCTGATAGAGCACTTTGTTGAGGTTGCTCTGGGATGCCCGTGCGTCAATCTTTGTCGCGCGAACGCCTTGCGGGAAGCAGTAGTCGGACACGTTGAAAGGAAGGGTCGCCTCTGGAGGGTAGCGGGCTAGAACCTGTTTGTTTTCCGGCCGCCAAGGTGTAGACAACCGAAAGTGAACGGAGTCATAATGATCCCACCCCAAAGTAGGAAGGGACGGTTGGCCATCGGTGATCGTTCCTTTGGGAACAATGTCCTCTTGAGGACGCGTGGTCAATGCCCTAATCGCTAAGGTGTGAAAAAAATATGAGCACCCCCTCTCTCCAGGAGCGGGTTTGCCTTAAGCCATGACCGCAACAAACTATGGTAAAACCCTCGCTTCGCCTCACTAGTGACCTTCCCAAAACACCTACCCATATCGTTGCAACGTGAACTGGTTTTTCGCCCTACGAAAAGGGTAGGACGTGCACTGAACGCCCTGGCGGCTTCTTCTCCTACAAATAATCCAATTGTCAGCACGCAAGCGAGAACTAACGTACACGCAAAACGGACCTGAGGTGCCAATCGCCCCTCGACACTCCCGTGGGGAACTGGCGTCGTTGCTTCCTCCTTGGCGGTATCGGTGACATCCCGCAGGTGGTTGGCATCATCGTCTCCGTCGGGGATGGTACCGGCAGGCGCCGACACCGTTGTCTCTTCCGCCACCGACGAGGACGACTTCGCTGAAAGATTGCCACGGCGAGGGCCGGGGTCGATCGATCTAGGCCTTGGGGAAACGTCAGCTGGAGGCTTTTCTCCCACTTTTCTGCCACCAGAAGGAGAAGAAGAAAACACTGATCGTATCCAGCTTCCTGCCCCACTCCCGCCGCCGCTGCTTCTGTTGGTGTTGTCGCTTTCGTTGTCGTATATTCCCCAGGTTCGACGGTTTGCCGAGGGAGTGACGTCACGCCCGCTCGCTTCCGCGGAGGTGGGCTTGTTGGTCAACGGCCTCAGGTCCCAGTGCGCTGGAATACCGACCTGAATTTTTATCCAGGGTGGGTGGACGGATGAGCGGGTTGATGGACAGGCGAAAGCCTCTCTTCGAAGCGCCTTGAAATGCAATCCCACAGTGCTTCCTGTTGTATATCACGCTTCGCCCGCAGCCATTATCGCACAATCTTTGATTGCGGAAAGCTTCCCTCCAGCCGCGAACCCAACGCGAGATTCTCGGTCGACCTCGACGCTGAATTTTTTCCCCTGATCTACGGCCCATTACAACCAGCGCGTCAGAAGCGAAGTATGGTGCACAGGTGGGTTTGGTTGCATGCCCGCAACGGCGGTTTCCGCGGGAAATGTGTCGAAAGAAGTAATTCCACGCCTCCCCAACTCACCGAGATAAGGCTCTCGAACAGGCGGGGTTGTTCTCCTTCCTGCCCTTCGTCTCCATCCTTCCCCTCCCTCGTCGCCTCTTGAGCAACCTCGCCGCCAGTGCGGCCATCGCCAGCGCCGTTCTCGTCGACGCTGTCGGTAGGTTTTACCTTCGCGGCAGCTTGCTCACTTGGCGCTGAAGCAGCACCTGTGGCCGCAGCAGGAAAGCTGCCGACGTTTCCCACGGAGAAGGATTGCTCGGTGTCCGACGACCCGGAGTCGCTGCAAGAGAGCACGCGTTAAGCCGTAGGCCGGGCACGGAGGAAGGTATCAAGCGGGTGGAGAGGCCCTCGTCAGAACTAGTTCGTCTGTGTCTGTTTACGTTTGAGATCCCCAGAGGCTCTGGACATGATCGCTCTGCAAGGTTTGCATCCACGCTAAGGCTGGTTGCCCAGTCAGAATAGACGGAACTGTTCGCCTAGCTGTCTGACTAAATGCTCGCCGGGTCGTGGGCGTACCGAGGCATGTGCAGACGATTTGAGTCGAAACCAAGCCTTCGGAACTTAAGACACGAAGATTAAGTTCGATCTCATTATCCCTGCAATTGGCAACGTTCCGGCAGGGCAAGAACAGGTAGCACAACAAATGCCTCGGGACACGACTTACCATCACTTGAAGTACGATGATGACAACCGTCATTCTATGGTGAGCTTGCAGTATTCGACTGAAACCAAGGAACCGTCCGATGCACCAACGTCACCTCTTCCTACCTACGAATGTCTCTGCAGACTGCTTGCCTTAGATTCAAGGAGCCCAGCGAGACGTTGCCTGTGAAGGGATCCGCCGTGTAGTCGGAGGACCCTAGCGATACCTCAAGCGACTCCTCATCGTCCCCCTTGCTCTTCAAATCTGTACGGGCAAGCCCTGATGGTGTGCAGCTACTGCAGCTGCTGCTGCTGCTGCTGCTGCAGCTGCTGCTGTTGCGGTGGCCGCCAGACGACACCGAGGTCGACGAAGCCAGACTGGAGCGGTACAGCTCGATAATTCGCGGCTTCTGTGGCTGCGGTTGCTCCGGCGCCAGAAGACACACCTCTTCCAGCACGCCGCCGATACCTTTGCCCTCTACAGAAGCAGGAGCAGGTGCGATATCGTCGGTCGTTGTACAATCAAGGCTTTCGGTTGGTGTGCTAAGTAGTTCGGCGGCATCTGGGAGAGCACCCATGTCGATTGCACCATAGGTCGCTGCACCAGTTTGGCAAAACGGAGGCTCAAAGCTAAACCCATGGTCTTTGGTGTTCCAACCTATGCTGCTGCTGCTGCTGTCAAATCCTCCGTCAGAGAGGTCCGAAATGCTGGTGTCCGACGGGGGGCCCAGGACAAGGCCCAGCCCAATACCGCCTTCGCTGGTGCTTGTTCCGCCGCAGTGCAATTGCTCTCCAACTTGTAACGCTCCTCGTCCTCCTTGGAGCTCTTGCTTCCTCGGCAAAGGGAAAACCTCTTGGCCCTCACCGTCTGAGTCGTGAGTGTGCCTATTGCTGCCGATATTGCTGCTGCTGAGATGACGAGATTCATCGTGTCTTGCTGCCTTAGCCGTTAGGCCCTGGTTATTCCCTACCACGCCGCCGCCGTCGCTGAACCTGGCCCCATCGTTTCCGCCGCCCAGGATGGCGCATATTTCGTGGCGACCACCGCCACAGCCACTGGCAGCACGTCGTTCAAGCGCCGCCCGGTTCCTGCTGCGCATGACGCCCCTACTGCTGCTTTCCTTCCCTCCGGCCCTCTTCTCCTTGACCTTGACAACTGTAAGAGATCTTGCACTTGTCCCACTTTCACCAGGTAGAGGTCGACCGGACGCGGAGGATGATTCGAACCCCGATTCGTCAGATGACCCCACGTCCGACAAGGAGGAAGGGGACTTGATTGACATGCCGGCGGGGTCATCGTCATCGCTACCCTCGGACTTGGGGCTCGGGCGGTAGATTCGCGGAGACCGCGGGGGTAGCGGAGACGAGGACGACCGCCGGTGGTCGGTCCCTCCGCCGCAAGACACTCCTCCGGTAGCAGCGGAAGACGCCGGAGGGGGCGGCAAGGCGAACTCGGTTCGGCGTTGGTACCTACTGGCGACCCCCTCACTGACGTTGCGGGTGACCGACGATGATGGTGACGTTGAGGAGCTTCCAACGACCAGCGGAGATGGCTTGCCGTCATCCTTCTCCCAGTTCCCGCCACGGCCGCCATCTTTCTCCGGCTTGTCAGGAGGCACTCCGATAGCATCGTATGCCCCCGGGCCTCGTGCTGGAGGGAGGGGGAATAGCCCCGTCGCTTCCGAGCGGCCGGCACCGGTGAGGTCGCCCGCGAGCCCCCCTCTTCCTTTCGATTCTTCCTCTAACATCGGCGGCCCCAGTCTCCCGAATGGATGGTCTCCATCATTTTGCCCTTGCATCTCTACGCTACCCGTACATCTTTCTCCGTCGGACTCTCCGTCATCACCTGCAGCGTTGCCGCGGTATTCGACGTAGGCCGACTCGGCTCTCGACCCTCCCGCTGCCCTGTCTGGGGGTGATTCCTTTCCGCATTCCTTGTCGCCGAGGAAACCCGACATTTCTTCCATTGTTGCGTCTGGCGCCATCTCGGTTGCCCCCGATCCTTCCGGGACCGTTTCGAGCTCGCGGCCCTCGTGCCACCCACCACCCGGCGAATCTCTCGCCAAAGCGATCCGTCTCGTCGTCGCCCCCTGGGCAAAGATTGTCGAAGACTTTCCTCCTTGCAGTGCAAGCCGGAGCCTGCTCACCCCTCCAACCTTGGAGTACCGCCCGGCAGAAGGCCCCCACCCCGGGGCTCGCTTTGTCTGGCCCCTCCCGGAACGTGCGGGTTGTCTGGAGACAGAGAGGCTTGTGTGCGACCGCTCCGGCGTCCCGTCCCCTTCTCCCGAACGTGCCGCGCGTGGACCGGTGAAGTCGCCATCCGTGCCCGGACACGTGTTCAACGCCACCGGTCCTTCGTCGTCTTCACAGACTTCTATGTGTTCTTGTGTCGGAGGGGAGGGTTCTCGATTCTGTCCCGGCGTCGTGAGGTCGATGTCTTGCGGTTGCTGCCTCCAAAACAGACCCCTGTCACCGGGTGTCGTCGACCAACCCATGCGGGCTCTTGGCGTGCCGCCGCGAGTGGCCCCGTTTCGTGACGACGGCTCGGTCGAGCCGACAGAGTTGTGGTGGCTCAGGTGGTGCTGCAGCGGTCGAGAAGGTGCGTCTTCCGCGGCGGAGAGTGATCCACCGGACGGCCGTTTTCCTCTTCCCGGTGGTGTAGAATACCTTCCACTCCCCGGAGAAACCGCCGGAACATCATCCTCGGCAGCCCGACTGCTGCTGTTGTTGTTATCACTGTTGCTACTAGCGTTCACCAGAACGGCAGAGGCAGAGGCGCTCGGGCCGCACAGAAGAAGGGCCGCTAGCCGACGAATTTCTTTGCGGTAGGTCTCCGCTTGGGATTCTGATGCCTGCAGTGTGAGGAGGGGTGTACTCATAGTCGTGCATGCCGTAGTCGTTAGACCATTGACCTCGCATCCCTACAAAGCCGGGACGGAGCATGCCGGGTTCTCACCGGACCAGGCTCTCACATCACCAAGCGCGAAGCGCCGTGAGATATTCGGCGAGTCGC